CTGTCAGTCAGTCAAACTGTCACCACGACAGGCCATGGGTGATTAATCGTTAGCTGCGTTGTATCTATATACCAATGTTAATTACTTATAACCAGTTAGCAGTTGCTATGCTCTGAATGGTTCATATGGTTTAGGACTAGATTTATGCAAATAAAAATACATATTGTTCCAGTTGGACTAGGTCATGGTCCAGGGCATTACGTACAAATGTAAATGTGACCTCTATGTATGCTTATGTAAATGATGTGAACAACAAACAGTTCATTGTTGCCTGCACACTAGTCACAGTTTTAGATTTAGCAGTTAGCACTACAGCCAACATTCAATGGAACGGTAGGAGCTGCTGTTAACTAGCAGATAGCTCGTTGGACTACTCATGTCTTATTAAATACAAAATTGTCTTTAGAGATAGAATGAATAGATGAGATACCGCACCAGCCAAAAATGCATAAGGAAGAAAAAAAACATTACAGTAAGTCGCACCAGCCAGCTAGAGTGCCCTCTAGCGGCTGGCAGGGTAAAAATATCAAACATTTGAAATTATAGATTTTAATATAAGTCGCACCTGAGTATAAGTCGCAAACTCAGCCAAAGGATGAAGAAAAGTAAAACTTATAGTCTGGAAAATACGGTAATTAAAAGGTCAGAGTATCGTTTGTTAACCTGGAACTAAATAGTCATCTTTAACGTAGGTGTTGATACATGAACAGATGAGCAGAAAACACAAATGTTTACTGAAGAGGTGGCAGAGAATCTCAAGAGTTTTCCTGCAGGTCGTGGTATCTCAAAGGCATCTTCTACAAACCTGCCCACGTCGCTGCTGATTACAACATCGCTGTCATCGCATGCCGTGTCAACGGTCACTGTGAATGACATTACAGATAAAACTGATTTTTTTTTTTACTAATAACAGTTCGACAGCCTACTCAAGATTTTTACACCTATTCACTGTCTGTGTGCCCACAGGAATTGCTGTAGCTATGTATTCACCTTATAACTCACATAGACGGCTTCTGTCATTCCAACTGTTAATAGGAGATCTTTTCAGTTGTTGCAAGATCAATGATTAGAACTGGTACTCCACATACCAGTGGAGTACTGTCAAGGTCAGAAAAGCCTTCTCTGCTGCACAAAGTAGTATCAGAATCAAATTCATCAGCTTCAAATTGGTTTTGAAGTATTTTGGATACTATTCCAAGGAACTTTTAAAATAAGAATATTGTCTAGAGATTAGAACTGCAAGATTATATTTCACATACAAAGTAAAAAAAAAAACAAAACAACACACTATTTACAAAAGGCTATCACCAAATGCAGAACAGGTTGTTGCTGCTGCTGAAGCAGAAACCACAGAGAGTACATTACAGGGTATAATACAAAGATACAGACCAAAAACCACAAACATCTGATGACGTTTCCTGGAAATACTTTATAATCTCTGTGATCAATGTATAATCACTTCAGAATAACTGGAGATCGCAGCCAGAATGACAAAACTGCAAAAAAAAAGCAACATCATCAACTACAGTGTGAGAACAGTCCGGAATCATCTATCTATATTCTTATCACATAAATACGACGGTACAGATGATGAAATAAATAAATAAAACCTTTTCTCAAGCAGTGTTTCTACTGGAGAATTCCATCATTGTAGGATTTTGCACCGGTTTATAACCTGCTGTGTTATTTCTTCTAAAAAAACTAAAGTTCAGTTCATTCAAAATGTTCTGTTAGGTTTAGAAAGTGAAAAAAAATCAGATGGATGTCGTTTAAAACATAATGCAAAACTTTGAGTTTGTAGTTTTCTATTTATGCTTTCTATTCACGCTTGATTAAAAAAAACCTTTGGACCTTCACATATTTCAATAGAAACGTACGCTGTGTATTCATTCACTAAGGTTTTTTTCTCCACGGTTTTGCTCGTGGGTGGAAATGTTTGTCAGTGGAAAATTGATCTTCCACGAGGCAGTAATGAAACTGTACTGAGTCCCGCCAGTAATAAATCTCTAAACAAACTTTCTGTTGAAAGACCCCATTCTAAAATGTATTTCAGGAAAGAATGTAAGCACCAGTAATTAATCTTTTGTTACTGAATTGTTTGGATGAATACAGCTCCAAAAATAAACAGGCATTCTTTGAACTCAGGCCTGGTTTATCCATCCAACCAAACTGTCTCCATTTGTGATTAAAAACAACACGAAGAATACATTTTTGGTCTTTTTCTTTAGGCTGTTTCCTTCAGGGGTCGCCACAGAGAATCATCTGCCTCCATCTCACCCTCTCCACTGCCTCCTCTGATTTTACCCATCTCCATGTCCTCCTTCCACAACATCCACAAGTCTCCTCTGAGGTCTTCCTCTTCACCTCTCTCCTACCAACAACATCATTTGTCCAATATCTTCACCATCTCCACCGTAACTGTCCCTCTGATCTGTTCAGTTCTAATCCTGTCCATCCTGGTAAAATCCCAGCACCTCCAACACCACGTTTTGTCTATTAGACAGAGCCACAGCCTTGGACTTTACCTGCAGTTCTACATTACTATGGTTACAAACTGCTAACTGGAGCTGCTCTCCACATGTAAATATCAACATCTAGATGGTGTCCTTGTTTTGTGGAACAGGAAGGAAACAGTGGAATATTTGGAGACTGGAATCTCTTCTAAGAGACACAGCAACACAAAATTAATAGGGCACAGAAATATTTACTGGGGGCGTTCATTTTAGATATGTATTTTGAAACGGAATCCTGCAAACAATACCTTCAACATTTAACAGATTAACAAACATCATGATTAGCATGTTAGCATAAAAACATGTTCCACTGACCCTAGTGTGAGTGAACCTTTAGTACAACGTCTTTGCTCTGAAAGAAGAATGGAAATCAAAAGCTAAGTGGACTTTAGAACGATTCATAGGAAAATGTCAGCCAAACTGAGACAGAAACAGGACTTGACAGAGTACAATGTGTTCTCTTCGCTGTGAGAGAACGTTCACATGTGCTAAAGGTCAGTGCAAGTGTCTCAGGGTGAAGTCTCTTCTGACAGCAGGGTTTCTGTACTACTGTAGAAGCTGATGTTGTGTCCAATGTGCTGTTACACTGCAGTAATAGTACAATGCAGTGTTTTTCAACCTTGGGGTCAGGACCCCAGGCGGGATCACCTGAAATGTCTGGTAATTTAAAACTTTTAAAAAATAATATTTTTTCAACTGATTATTATTCTTTTTAAAATTATGATTAAAACATGTATGTAATATATGTAATTTCAATTGCATTAAAAATGTATATTTTAAAACATCCTAATATATGTTAAAATGTGATTAATTGCAGGTTAACTGTATATTGATCCAAATTTGTTGAGTCATTTGTACATTTTCTAAATAAAAATGCAATTAACAACATGGAATAATGCATAAAGAGAAGTCAAAATGGATTCTCACCTATAACTAATTCAAATACAATGATGACATTTTCAAACCTTAAGATGTATCCCACCTTAAAAAAATATTTTAAGTTACTTTCCTGACACAAATGTCCCATCTTGATTAGTCTCACCGAAGTTGGCTGATAACTTTAGTTTGACCCTTTGACCTCGATTACAGTCATAGTCGTACTCAAATCATTTTATCCGTGAACTATGACTCTTAAAGTGCCATAACAATTTAAAACATTTTTCTTCGTGGTTTGTTTTACATCCAAGCGTAATGGCAGGCTGCCAGTTGTCTTGAAAGACTGAACCAGTTCAATTCATTCATTTATTTATTTATTTTTAAAACACACTGTTTCCCTCTGCTGCAGGAGGCTGTTACACTACAGTCAATCAGATGCAGCAGCTTTTTTGTGTGAAATTCACAGTTTTAAAATAAATAAAACATTTTAGCAGTGAGCCAAATATAGATGCAGCCCTGGGAACCACAATTGTAATGTCAAGTGCCTGTAAAGAGGCTGCACGAGCACAACAGACCTGGCAAATCTGTCTCGTGAGTTTAGAAGCTGTACGGGACAGCAGCCAGGGTTTCTTCAGTCAGATGAGTTATTATGGATATTGACAGATGTGTTGCTTACACTAATGCCCATATGAACAGATAAAACAACTAACATTTAAACTCAATATATTGCTGATTTGTTAGAATATTATAATAAAAAGCACAATTATCTGCCTCGAAGTTATGTCTACCAGACTGGGTTTATATTTAACAATATAATTTTTATTCAAAACTGCATTCTGCCAGATTATATGGTGAACCTGGTATCATTAGGGAGTATGTTTATATTTCAATTTTCAAATGTCATTTTCCAATTTGTCAAATTTTAAGTGGAAAATATTTATTCTATTTCTAAATTGAACATTGTCGTTGCAAAGAGTTGCCCAAAACACCCAAAGTATCAAATTGCATACAAAAAAACAAAAAAAAAACAAAAACAAAAAATAAAAACGTGTTATGTGGTAAATGTTGTGCTAATCAAAAACGTCCATTCTGCATTAGCCAGCTACATTCTAGCTTGAGGAAGAGCAGCTCGACAACAGGCGCGAACGAGGTCTACACAGATTATGACATCATCATGCCAGGTGCGTTACACGAGATGTGTTCAGGTACTATTGGAAAGTCCAACGATCCGACAATTTCAGCAGTTCACATGTTGGAGAGTTCAGGGTAATGGTTATTAAAATAAAATAAAAATAAACAAATAATCACCAACGAAGCCCTGTACGACCACATCTGTTGCCAGCACTTAGCTGTGTGTGACCCACAGGAGAGTGTCTAATAATGCTCTCCTGGTCTGACACCTCAGTGGTGCTGGAACATTTGTAGATGCTACCGTAAAAGTCTGACCTTGGGCCTGGAGCTCACACATTAAAGGCTGAACTGGTTTTGCATACCAAGTGTGTTGCCTCTTTGTTATCTGTCCAATGTTTGAGAAACGTAATAGCAGACTGTAGCAGGTGGAACCGCCCCCTCCTTCCTCCCTCCCTCCCTTCTCCAGGATACCCTCTGGTTACCTGGTCGTCAACACCTGCTGTTTCTCAGCTTGTAAATTTGAGGGAGCAGCACAGCAGCGGTGTACTGGATATCTGGGAAATAAGCACACGAGGATTAATGTCCAGGACTGTGATAAGAACCCTCCTTCTGCTGCTCTGTTTTCCTATTCGGTCTCTTACAAACTTCGACCGTCTTGCTTCTCAGCCCTTCGTGTCCCACAGTCCATCTCCGGACCAGCTCCCTGCCTGACAGCTGCAGGGAAAATTCACCACATTATCAAAATACTAGAGTCAAGGAACAGTGAGGAGAAATGAAGCCCAGGGTTAAACTGAATTTTGAAACATTTTACTTATTTTATTAAAAACCTTCACATTCGTTTCTGTATCCTGTTGTTAACTGACTACATGATGAACTGCTGCCACACACGTCCGTTAATAACACCAGTCACCTTCCTAGGTATCAGACTGGACCAGCTTTAGTGTTTATATATATATATTTTTTTTATGTTGGATGCTGAAATTTTATCCTTAGTATGAACCTGTGATACAGATTTTTTTTGTTGTTGTTGTAATGCTGTTCCCTTATATCAGGGGTGTCAAATTAATTTTGGTTCATGTGCCACATACAGCCTGATTAGATGTCAAGTGGGTCGGACCAGTACAGTCATAACATTATTACCTAAAAATAACATTCAACTACATGTTTTTCTTTGTGATATATATAAATATATATAAATATTAATATGATAATTAAATAGGATTTGACAAAACATCATGAACACTAAGCGTTTGTACATGTTTTCACTTTCAAACTTCATTAAGTGGGCCAAATTGATGCCCCAGCAGGCCAGTTTTAGGCCACGGGCTGTATGTTTGACACCCATGCTTTAGGGGCTCCATGGGTTTGCTGGAAAGAGCTCTTCACTTTCTCTCAGTGATTGTGGCTCTTTGGTCTCGCATTAACAACAGCAAGAAAAGACATTATCTCTGTGACATTTACAGCTTCAGAAACAACGGGCAAAAGTGATCAGTTATTAAAATAAAAGCCTGCACTTCAAAATAAAAGTCGGGCCATAATCATGTCTTTAAAAGTCTGCACAGCCGGCCTCTGTCATCAGGAGTACCTTAACACCTGAGAGTCATAGGATGGAGTATCAAGAACCCCAGAAAATACATGGAGTCATCACACGGATGATTCATGAAGCACTAGACGGCTCTACTTAGAAGAGACAGTATTTATGCGGATAAACATTTGGAGTTTTCTGTGAGCGTATCAGTTCAGGTTGATCACTGGTAATAACAAGGAGGCTTTTCAAACAGTGTCGCTTCTTTTCTCCCTCTGATGCCTCTCAGATCAGCGGAGAGAAAGAGCTGTTCCAGGCTTTCGTTGGATTAAAAGATTTTTTAGCATAGGCGACATCACAATTTCACCCACAATTGACTTGACAGCTCTAAGCCTGCCTCTTTCTGCAGCTTGCATGCTCCATCTGTTTGTCACCTCTTAATATAAAGGTAGTCACTCAGGCTGAAACGTGTTGAAAGACTAATATTTACCGAATACCAGTTTTCCTAATGCGTGCCAGTGACATAACGAAATAATGTGTGAACACAGGGCTTATGTTGCACTCCGCATGACAGATTTGCACTAGAATTGTTGATACGTGTGATTTGTAGAGGGAGGTCCCTGGAGCATAACGCCGCACTAATGGAGATGCAGTATGTGGGGCGCGCACACACCGTGGCCCACATCTGACAGTAATCATTTTAAGCAGCAATAATAGAACGAAAAGTCTTTGCTTAACACCGTCACCACCATTGATTAACAACATTAACAGGTCACAGGCACCAAATAACTACTTCATCATTTTAACCCCCTCACTGGCTCCACCACTGTTCATTTATCATTTAGCAAAGAGACACGTCTACACACCGGCAGCCTAAACAACATGAATCAGCACTCTGCATGCTAACTTTATATGACGTTCCCTTCGGTGGAGGAAGGGGATTTTATTAAAAGTTATTTTCTCCAGTGCACATTACTCAGTTCACTGCAGCTGAAAATGGTCTGTAGTTAATCATCTGAAGATTGATTCAGACTTTTTTTTCTTTATTTTCTTACTTGGCTTTTTTTTTTTTTTAAATCCTGAGTGAGCATTTTCATAGGACCATAGTCAAAGCCTGGAAGGGGCCACCATGCTGTACTGGTCCAAACATGGGCTTTGAACAGACGGGTGGGGTCGAAGTCAACGTCAGCTAATACTCTGCCTGGACTGGACGTTCAGAACCAGTTTGGGACTTTATTTTAACAGGACCAGCACACTGCAGGGGTTGGTTTTAGTACACTGTCAAATCCTCTTCAAAATCACATAAATATAAATCAGCAAAGGTCTTTACAACTTGGCTACTCATGTACTAAGACCAGGGGACAATGAAGAAATTATTATTTTCACTAAAGTTCAATTCTATATAATGGGGCGGGATGGGTGTCGGGGCATTGGTAAATCACATTCATAAAAATGTCTACATTGCTCAAGGTATGTAGGGGATTTACCACCGCTCTGCTCTGATCATATGGCTACGCTTTTACAGAAAAGAAATGAGGCAGAATGAATGTAAAACTTGTACTGAACGCTGCTGCAAAAAAAGAAAAGAAAAACGTACAAATTCAGGAGGAGAATTGTTCAGGCAGGGGTTGACAGAGGAAAGGCCAACACCAGGCCAATGTGTGGGGGGGGGGGGGGGCCCACTGGGTGTAACTAATTCTCTCCTAATTCACGGCATTCTTTAGCAGATTAGGAAACTGGGCACAGGGTTAACTGATGTAAAAAAAAAAAAAAGCCGCTTCAACTTGACTAATTAGGCAGAAACGATGGGTAATTCAGCGACTTTTTAATGACTGGTTCATTTCAAAACTCAGAACCGTTTCATGAATATTCTCAAGGTGATAACCTGACCTCTACAGTGACCTCAGCTGCTTCATAAACTGAAAACTGAAAGTTACCATTTATTGGTGGTTCCACTAGTGAAGTGGTCCTTGCTACCATGTGGAAGATGATCATGTATTTGAATTTTTTTTTTTTTACCTTTAAAGTTTTTTATTTGCTTTAAATTATCTCTTAAACCATAATCATGCCATTCACTACATGTTAGCTATCATGTTTGTTGGTCTTTTAAAGCGTTCTAAGTGGACTCCTGATGTGGGCACAGTACATTAAAAAAAAAAAAAATCGAAATCACTAGAAGAAGTTAGCCGTGGAAATCATTAATGAAGACATGAGCAGAAACAGATTCTATTTCACAGTAATTACAGAGACGAGAACCTGCACGAAAACACATTCTCCCTCCTCTTAGATAAGCATCTCATGTAATTGCAGGTGTCTGAGGTAGACTTTATGTCTAGATGGCTACATTATGCAAATGTATCAAATTTTAATTAACCAGATTTGGCCCAGACTCTTCGTGTGCATCCAATCATCTCTCGCTGAGTTCACACGTGATCTAATAGACGGCGCTGCAATCTGAGAACCAGTCTGAGTCAATGTTATCACTTGTTGGGGACAAGCAACATATTTCTCACTTTGTCAGTGAATTTTAAGTGGAGAAATGTGCCAGAGATTTCATCTACACGTGATGGATGTGAGTGTTAATTAATTAAACAGCCCCGTTCTCTTTACCCCACTCTTTAATTACAAGTGAATTCAACAATGCCCAATGTGAATTATGTCTAATCAGAGGAATAGATTTTACCAATTAAAGTGCCCTCCAGCCTTGGTGGTGGGGAGTAAAAAATGTTACAGCCTCGCTCGTATATCCAAGTATTGATTTTAACACTGTGGTGTGGTGATTCAATAAATATACCACAGCTCTCCCTGTTCACTGCAATGTCGATTCCTGTAAGCACATAGGGTCACAATGGCTGGGAACCGCTAAGCGGAATAGTGACAGTAACTGCAGCAGAATATTGTCCTGTATGAGACAAAGGCTGCTGTGACATTTGGTGAAAAACACAACGCGAGGAGTCACAGCTTAACCTTTAATACGACACTGGACTATCAAAGCAGGAGGCTATTAGACCTACTGGACTACAGCTGCCTGGAATTAAATGTTCTAGAGGTGATAAAGAAAATCAATCAATAAATTAAAAATAATAATAATATTTTAATAATCGAACATTAATATATTTTAATAATAATGATAATAATAATAAATATTAAATATATAATTTTAAACAAATGTGATTTTTATTTTAACGTAAGACAAGTAAGACAAAATATTTTTATGAAAAACAAGGATTTAGGAGGATTTCAGAAAAACAAGTTAAGCTTGTTTTTCACACTAAAAGCTACAGTTGGTCAGGAAAACCTTTGTTTGGATTAGAAAATGTGTCTTTACCAGTTTGTTGTTATTTATTTTATTAGATAATTAGGTGATTTGGACAGCTCCAAATGTTTACTCCAATTATTTAGCTATTATTTACTTAAGTTTTATTTTTTTTAAATGATCAGGACCCTCCCCAAGAACTTTTCAAATATATCACTTTGAAAACTATGCAATACAAGTATGAACATTTTAAAATGAAATGGTAAACAGGAGCAACTTTTGATGAGCAACCTGATGATTATAGAAAGTTTCTATAATTAGCACTGGCAGCCCAAAATCAAATACGAATATTAATCTGCGGGGTTTTTTTTATATGACAGTAGAAGTACCGTCATGTACCTGAACAATGAGGAAGTGACAAAATGTTTTCTAAGTTCATTAAAATGCAGCGTGACCCCGTCACCTTCTCAATGTATTCTTTTCTGCCTTTCTCTTCTCCAAAAGACTGGAACTACAGCTGCAAACAAATGCTAATGTGGACGTGAAGGACACCGAGCCCCAAGGTTGTCGATGAAGCATCAAACATTCTCCTCCAATAATAGTGCTACTCTATCTGATGATGAGATGTCACTGCTGATGAGAAGTTCTCGCTCAACATGCGTTAAAATCAATAACAATATCGGTGCTATAAATAGTCACCGCTGTGCATAATGGCAGAGTGTAATGACAGCTGCCTTTGTGAGTGGACTCAGACAGAGACAGAGTTGATGCAGTGGACATGCATTTTTAATTTACCCATAATACAAATATAAATATATATTGTGTTTTCACTGGGTGGCAAATACAATAGACCGAGAATCTCAAAGGACGAATCTACCTCAGTCACCAACCCACACGCTAGGGCAGTATTGACTTTTGATGTTTTCACATTGA